TCGCAGTGGATTACTTCACTAAGTGGATAGAGGCTAAACCGCTGTCCACGACAACAGAAAGGAAAATAGAAGAATTCTTATTCAATTCAATATTGTGCAGGTATTCTTTGATGATTGAGCTCATATATAAAATATAGGCAAACGCGATTTGTAGCTCAGCTTGCTCATCTGTGCGCAGGTTTAGCATACCTAAGCGAATTATCGCCGACAATGGGCCACAGTTACGGGCAGCAGCACTGAGATCGTTCTGTAACGACTATGGCATTGAGCTCGCCTTGACGTCTGTGTATACTCCACAGTCCAACGGGCAAGCCGAGTCCGCCAATAAAATCGTCTTGCGAGGCCTTAAGACACGTGTTTTGGCCGCGCATTCTAATTGGGTTGACGAGCTCAAAAAGGTGCTTTGGTCTTGTCGCACCACACCCAGCTCGGCCACGGGCGAAACCCCTTTCAGCCTAGCCTATGGAGCTGAAGCCGTCATCCCAGTGGAGGGTCGGACTGCCATCCGATAGATCAGATCGTCACGACGATCAGAATAATGAACAACTCTTAAGAGAGAACCTAGACTTTGTGGAAGAAATCAGAGAGATGTCCCGAATAAAAAATATGGCACATCAAAGCCACGTTGCAAAATTTTACAATAAAAGGGTTCGAGCTCGCCAGTTTCAGGTGGGCGATCTAGTCCTACGTAAAGCCGGCTTAACTAACATTCATTCACACATGGGGAAGCTCGCTCCTAATTGGGAAGGCCCATATATGGTCGTTCGAGTTAAGCGACCTGGCTTTTATATGTTAGCAGATATACAAGGGCGTTAGTTACCTTACATTTGGAACGTACAGAATCTTAGAAAATTTTACAGTTAACGTGTGTACTTTTATTTCACTTAGGGTGTTATCCAACAGTTGTAAACAAAGATATACAGAAAATGCAATGAAGATTCAAAAGAAAAATCATTTTTGTATTTCATCAATGACGTTACATTCGAAGTACATACGATCTGAATCTATTGATCAAATACAAAAATGCCAAAACAAAAATACAAAAGAATGAAACAAAAAGTCCTAAGCCTAGTCATCCGTCAGATCGACGGGCATGGATGCGTCAGCAACAGTCACAGAAGAGGGAGCTGGAGAAGAGCGGGCAGCAGGCTCAGAGGTTGGCGTGTTTACGGGTGAGCTCGATGGCACAGCAGCGGGCTGAGAGTTGGGTGGGGTGCTAGAAGGCTCCTGCTCAGCTATAGGAGCACCCTCTACCCATGCATCGAATGAGGGTAGTCCTGCTGGGTCCTCCCCGTCCTCTAGAATGGACGGTGGCCAGACGGGCACGCCCTCCTCGTTCAAATCCCACCTCAGCCTCACAGTTGTATCAGCGAGGGGAGCAAGGCTCTTACCCTGCTCGTCGAGCTCTTCCTCGTCAAAGAAGACCAGCTCGCGGATTGGAAAATCTGGGCGGTGTTGCAGTACTTTTCCACGGATCTCGTTGTAGATCTCCGTGGTTACATTTGCCGACGCCACCGCCACGGCGTCCTGAAACGCAGCTGAGCCAGCGAACCATTCCGCCCCTTGAGCACGGGCGATGATGACAGAGCATGCATGGGAAGCCCTTAGCTCGTTCAGCGCTTCCCCGGCAGCAGCAAGGCTTCGGTCCGCCTCGGCGACCTGGTGCCTAAGGGAGCTCAGCTCGTGCTGAGCACGATCCCTGTCGGCCTCAGCCTTCTTCGCCCTCACCTCAACCCTGGCGGCCTCATCCCTTGCCGCTTGTATTCCGCTCTCTCTTTCAACTCGAGCTCGCTCCAACTCCTCCCTGAGCTCGTTGTTCTTGTTGGCGAGCTCATCTGCCCTGCTCTCTGCAGCCGCAGCTCGGTTCGCCATTTCAGAGCCTTGCAGACGATTCACATCGTCCACAAGGCTGGCCTTCTCAGCAGCCAGTTTTTGCACTTGGAACCGAGCTCGCTGTTCTGTGTACGAGCCGCCTGCTCACTCTCGTACAGAGCCACAGTGTAGCTGAATGCCTGCCAAACAACAACAGTCGTAAGTACCTAGTAAGGAAAAGTAAAACACTTAAACAGATATGAACAGATACTTACATCCATAAGTTTTATCATGGCGACCTGGCCGCCATGCTGCTGCACAAAAGCTTTGGCCCGCTTGTTATCCATAGGGGGCACAAAGTTATGCATGGCTTGCACCATGGCGGGCTGACACTCTGCCCGCACATAGCTGAAGCCCTCAGGATAAGCGATCCTCGGTCTGGACATCGAGGCCGATGCAGAGGCGGGCTCCATTGCTGCCCGCACAATCACTGACGGTGCGTTCGGTGAACGCAAGGCTGCAGGACGGGCCGCCTATGCAGACTGAGTCCCCCCGCTTCTTATACGCCTAGCAAGGGGGACCTCATCCTCCTCGCTCTCTGTCTCCTCGCGTGCACGTCTGCGCGCGCCAAGAGCCGCTGCCTCAGCTCTGTGGTCCGCTCGTGGCCTTGACGACGAACTGGATCCCCGGTGGGACGAGCTACGTGATTGAGGCGCCGGGGGTGGCCGCTCGTCGAACCTTGTCTGACGGGGTTGCGCGCTACGCGACGCACGACCTCGTGAGCCTTGGGCTCGCTGTCGTTGGCGTTCCAAGATACTGCTCATGTCTCCTGCACAGGAAAACGCATAAGACTCAGCCCGGCTAGAATTAATACTATATGATAAAAATATACCTTCGCTGAACAGGTTTGTCACATCGACAAACCCTAGCACGGCGAGAGCACCCGAGGTAACCAGGGCTTCTAGATCTATTAGACCCTCCCTCTGCACATACTCAAGCAGCTGGTTCTTCAAATCGACATCCCGAGGCAGTAGCTGAGGATAATTGATATGAGCGTTGGGGGTGCGCCACTCAGACAGCCGGGCAGCGAGGTCGTTGCTTATCCTTTTTGCTCGGGTGTCACGAACAAAAATAAACTGTCTCTTCCACCTCACCACCTTATTCCTCACATTTTTGAAGAGCTGGCTCTTATCCCTCCCAGAGAGGTAGTACCACTTCGCTCCTCGTGAGTTCGGGCACAACCGGCACTGGAATAGCGACCTGAACACTATCGCTTTCGCTGGTACCTCCAATCTCGTGCACAACAGCATAAAGCCTATGACGAACCTTATGCTGTTGGGCGTTAATTGTGTCAGCGCCAGCTCGTAATCCGCGAGCAGATCGAATATCAGGCTGGGCAAGGGAAACCGCAGGCCTGCATCAAAGTGGTCCATGTACACCGGTATCCAGCCCGTCTGCGACACTGTGCACGCCCTTTCATTCTGCCCGCCTGTCCGCAGCAATATGTTCTTGGGGATTTGGTACGCCCTCACCATCTCCTCCAGTCATTTATACCCACTTATGGAGGGCGCACAATATGCTACTTCGTGGTGAAGCGCAGCCTTGAATCTGAATCCAACGGGCAAGTCCTTCGGTGCTTTTCGCAGGTTGCTCAACCTGCCCGGGATCGTCGCTCCTTCCCATTCCCCAATCGCTGGTCGATCTGAGACATTGCTCACCACATCCCCCATCCCCTCCTCACGGCTGGGTGTCTCTTCAGCAGACGAGCTGCTTGACAATGCATTAGGGTAGTCGCCACCGTTGTCGTTGGCGCTGGAACTGGCGCTGCTCTCAGACGCCATTGTTTCCAGCACATCCTGCAACTCCGGCGGCACTATCATCGTGATAGGCTCCACTGACAAAACCCCTTCCTCTTCTCCCTCTCTGCCCTGGTTACCTCGTTGCTCTGTGAGTTCTCTCAATGAAACCATTTTTACCTGAAACTGATGTGAAGTCGATTCGATGTGCTGTTCTTCAAGCTGGAGCATTTCGCTTCATAGAATTTTAGAAAATTTAAGCAAATGCAGAATTGAAAATGAAAAAGGGGAACGATTATGCAGAGAAGGATAGTAGCGTTAATTGCTGTACGCGTGTTTTTGACGCGCCAACTAGCGTCCCACACGTGGCAGACGCTTAACGCCCCTCCTGCATAACGTGTGCCGGCTTTAGCTGTCACGTCCCTCGAATGCTGAGCCAGCATTTATGACGGGGAAGGCAGAGGGATATGGGAAGTTCAATCGTATCTCTTCAGAGATTTGCTTAACTCAAAAATCCCCAAGAGTCAGATCGTAACTGCTGAGGTGTACCCTATACTGTCATGTCAGCTCGCCATTGCGAGCACACTTACCAGATCGTCACAAAGATGACATATTCGCCAGATCGGCTCAACCGTGCCAATTCGTTCACGAGTGTAGATCCTTCACTAAGATTCAGCTCGTCACATATCGTGACGATGAGCACGTTTACCAGGTCCTTATATGGATTGCAGCTCACACCAGGCCGCAAGCCTTTGCATAAATTGATGGGTGCATGAGGTCGCCCTATTCGACAACACTACTCGTGCGAGCTGATAAAGTGACGGTCAAAAACATCAAATCACACTGCATGTGAGGTCGCGTCGCCTCACTTCGTGATCATAGCTAACTGAGTGTCACCTGGTCACACTTCGGTAGTACCCCAAGGTCAGGCCGCCTTACGTCCAAGCTGAAAGGGCGTTATATACGTGACTTGTCCATGTGCGAGCTCGTCTGTTGTGAATCACTTCAGCTCGCCGCCATAACCAGCCCACACTAATGTGGCTACGAATACCGGCTCGTCCACACGTTTTCAAGCTTGTGAGCTCGCCTTTTTTCGTTTTACCTTTCAGCTCGGCCCTCATCGAGGTCGGCAGCCCGTCGCTACATCCATCCCAGTTCGTCAACCGAACACTGGGGGGGGAGTAATGTTGGGATAGGCCCAACACCCAAACAGGGCTGTGTGAAAAGGGCCTAGGCTACCACCCATTAGCCCAAGCTGAAGGAACATCAGTACAAGCACACCCACGTGACCCATGCCACGTGGGTCAAGGGGATGCTTACACGTGCAGATGTATGTCAGCACCAAGGGGCTATAAATACCCCCCAACTACCTCCGATGAAGGTAATTAATATCTACTCTTCTCTCTCTGTAATTACTCCTTGAGAGCTTCTCTCTCTAGAACATTGAGTATTGCTGATTTGAGCGTTGGAGTGTTTTCCCGAGGAAACAACCTCGGGATTTTCAGGTGTGAAAGCAGCTAAGGACTTCAACAGTGTTGGATTGTGAAGCTGCCGAAACATGTCCTTAATATTTTAATGTGTGATTATGATCCATTGTAATTGGTTAGATGATGAAATAACCTATTAAAATGTGAGCAACCGATTATTTCACCGGAAAGGGTTTCTTCCCATGCTCTTTTTTGGGACACGGAATCCAAGGCTTATATTCGGTCAACGCAAATTGTAACCAATTTTTTTTTTTTAATGAGTTGCAATTATTTACGTATTAATTATGAAAAAAAACAATTTAGTGGAAACAATTCACATAAAGTAAATGATTCTAATTTAAAATTCAATACTATTGGCTCGGAACTGGAGTTTATAAGCAATTAACATAAATAGCTCCTGTACTTCTAATTTTCAAGCCAAGCCAAGAGCAAAAATGTCTCAGCTTCCTTGCGTTTTCATTTTAGAGAAAACTCAAGCTAAATATGCCGTAAAATTTAGTCATTATTAGCTTTTAAAGGAAATTTTCTAAATGTACCTTTACTTTTATAATTTAATCAAAAAAGAGTCATAACCGTTAACTAAACATCAACCGTAAGTCTAAGCTATTCCTTCTTTAAAGTACCGATTAGGATTACATTCAATGTATTACTTCCCACAGCTTCACTGTGCTTTTTGATTAAGGTTATCTTTTTTTTTTTTTTTGGGTTTGATAATTTTTTAGGGACTGCTTTTCAAAAAATATATAGATAACATCAATAAATTTATCACTCTCCATCTTCAAATAATTATTATTTTTTAAACTTTAAATTTGTCTCAAATTAATTATTATTTTTTTATTTTTAAGGTAAATTAAATTTTTTTGTACTTTAATTTTATTATTATTTATTTACTTTGATTAATTATTTTATTATAAAAATTTTTACTTTATTTTTAAATTTTTTTCTAAGAATAATATAAATAAATATATAAAATCCCTAAATCCTTAATTTAGGGACAAAGTTAAAAAACGACTATTATTTGAAGACAGAAGGAGTATATTAAAAGAGATTGGTGCTTATTCATCTTATTTTTAAGAAGAAAATTATTTTGAAATCATGTTATTTCAATAAAATATCACAAAAAAGTAAAAAATAATCTAGTTCATACATTAAAAATATAGTATTTTATTTTTTTAATAAAAATTTATTAAAATGACATAATTTTATAGTGATTTTCCTTTAAATTTTTAAAAATTAAGGTGGATGAGTGTTATTCTCATATTAAAAATAATAATACAATTTCAAAACACTAAATAATAATATTTTTATCTTTTAATTTTAATATTCTTATTTTTAGAGTCACATTACAACATCACACAATAATCCTCCTTAAACTTACTTTTTTAAAATAAAAAAAAATTAATAAAAGTAAACAATATGTTTCAATGAAGTTTGTAGCATTTCAAACCGATCAATATAGTTGGTACATACCCATTTTTTAAGTTGATTGAAATGACAAATGTTTGAATTTTGTTTCGGTCAAATTTTAGATATTTCGATGTACGGGCTAAAATTTGATTTACGGAAATTAAACTGATACAGATGAAATCTTAAGAGAAAAAGGCAAAAAAGCAAATCAGCCATTGCACTCAATGGATTATGGCAAATCAACCCATCAACTAAAAATAGATACAAATCAACCCCTCAACTCATTGTATGATTGCAAATCAAGCCTTTTTGCACAGCTTACATTAGATAAATTTTTTTTAAGGTGTATTTATTAAATATTTTTGTTATTAATTTATATAAAAAATTACAAAAAGTAAATTTTATTTTTAATATCAATATTACGTAAAGTACTTTAATTAGATAGTTGATAGAATTAAAATAATTTTTTTATATAATAATTACAACATATGTCTTAAACAACATTTCTTAAATTTATCAAATTTACAAAAATTACTTTTAAAAAATAAAACTTATCACTGCGTAAAATGACCAAAACAATAATTACTATAATATAAAAAATACTATTATATTGATAGCTTAGCATCTTGTATCTGCATACATTTTTTCTCTCAGTTCTTTGCCTAAAATAGATATAAGGAAAATAAATTACCACATAATCATAACAAATTAGTGCAAATTTATAATCATTATCTATTTTAATTATTTACTCATTCTATTTAATTTTAATAGGTCTAATTTTTTATCTAATAAAATAAAAATGTAATAATTAATTGATAATATTTAATATTTATTTTTAATTAATAATTATTTTAACAAATTTTCTTATTTAATATATGTTGTAATTATCTTTTTAAAATAAAAGTAAAATACAAAAAAATATATATTATATGACATTGTAAAATAAACAAGTAAATCTAAATACCCTAAATTAAAAATTAAATATATTAAAATTTAATTAATATTTCATCTATTACAAAATATATATCTTTCTTTATAGAAATGTATATTTATAGTGATAAATTTGAAACGGTACATGAAAAATTTTGATATCCGATATATACCATTTTAGTAGTAAAATCGATATGTATACCAGTACAATATTGACTACTTTGATATGTATCCCTAATAGCTCTTCCAATCTACTTTGACGAAAAAAGATGGTCATTTATTCTAACCAAACAGCCCAAGACTATGGGTTTTTTTTTTTTTTTGGCTTAATATTAGAGTGGAGACTCAAATTTTAAAATTGCACAACAGGAATTGAGTTATAAGTTAGGAGCGTTTTCTTTGATTTTTGAACTTCCCAAAATTTCATCAGGTGTAAGTTACAAGACCAAAGCCTCACTGAATTTTTTTCCTCTTAGATGCAAGGGAAGAATATGGCCGTAGGTTGTAAAATGAGCTATATCGGCAGACCAAAGTGAAAATGAAAGTGCTTTTTTAATTTGATTGTCAAGTCATAATATTATTATTCATCAATTAAAGGTAAGAGCCTATTACATGCTCACATATTACAGTATCAGTCATCAAAGAACAAGAACATCAGCACAAATAGAACACTCCAATTACTAGAGATTACATAATCATCCGTTATAAAGAAGTAAGTAAATTTTAAAATAACTCTAAAAGGACAACCCAAATGTGCACATGGAGCATATGAGGCCCCCCTTTTAAATACTTCAACTTTCACAAAAAAATTAGTTAAGGACCTTATCCCCAACTTAGTTCAAATTGGGTCATATTGAGTTTTGAGTTTATTAAATTGGGTTATTTTAGGTTAAAAGGGTAGTTATTACCTATCCACATAAATCTCGAATTGAGTCGAGTCAACCCAACCCCTTAAAAAAGTAAAATTTTCCTATATTTTCTCCATTTTCTTTAAAAAAAAATCTAATATTAATTAATTAATTGATAAAAAATCTACTTAAACTAATATTAAATAGAATAATCTAATAAATAATTATTATTTACATTTTAAATTTTATTTTTTAAAATTAAAATTAAAAGTATATTTAACAATATTCTTTTACATTAAAATAACTATTTTTTTAATTTTATCTTTAAATTAAAGATTTGGAAACAATATATATGTTTATTTATATTATTCTTAAAAAGAAATAAAAGATAAAAAAAAAACCTTCTATGATCAAATGACTAATTAAAAAAAAAAAATAATGATAGGGACTATAAGGTTAAAGTAGAGAAAAAATATGTTTACTTTAAAAATGAAAAAAGTAATTACTTAGAAAAAATTTAAAGTAAAAGAATGACTATTATTTTTGAATGAGGAAATAAAGGAAAAGTGAAATGAGGATCCTAATATTTAAAATATTAAAATTTCAATAAAATTATTTAAATATTTTCAATAAATTTTTTTGTATTAATTTATTAGAAATATTTTAATTTTTTTATTATTATTTTTTTATTATTACTGAAATTTTAATTACCAAAATATCTTAATTTTTTTAAATCTCATAATTTAACTTTAAAAAATTAATTAACTTTAATAGAATACCTTAGATTGACCCACTCAACATTTCGGGTGGTTTCAATCAACCATAACGAATTTCAGTCAATACTTAGATCCAAGACTCAACCCATGGCGAATGGGTCTGATCCGATCCGCGGGGTGGGTCTATTTACAGCCCAATCGCCAATTCCCAATTCCTATCGATTCATCACACCAAATCCAACCGGAGAATGAATCCAGCTTTTTAAACTCAATGGTTCAACTCCAAGCCTTAAATGTTTAGATGAGATAATCAGAGTTTTAAATTTTACTATCGTCGTGAACTCCACCAAAAGCGATTTGATGGTCGCACGCCTCATTTGAAGGGGTGAAATGTTGATTTGTTCTAGGGATCGAATCTCCGGTTGCTAACTAATTCATACTAATTTTCTAACCATTATTCTTGTTAAAAAAAAAAATCCAACTGAAAAATGATTAGTGCATTTTTCATTTTATATATCTTATAATATATTTATTAAAAAATTATTATTTTTAAATTTAAATTTAAAATAAAAAATTTAATTATAAAATTTAATAATTAAATTAATAATTATTAATAAATATATTAAATCAAAAAATATATTAATCATCACTCATTCAAAGGTTAAAAGACTACAACTGAGCATTATCGTCCCAACACAGACCAACTGTAGATCATGTCAACTGGAGTCTAAAACAGTATTAAAGCCACAACAACAACCTTTTAATTAAAATTTTCCATGGACTTTAATTTCAGTTACAATTAAAACTAAACTATTGATTACTCGAATATTGAGTATTGAATTTTAAAAATTATTAACCAAATAAAAAAAAAACGAATTTCACTAAGTTTGGCTAATTTTTTTAAAAATAATTATTTAAATCAATTTTAATTTTAGTTGAAAAATTATTTTTATATTTTTTATATTTTTTAATTT